AAGGAGTCCTCACATCAAGATCAATGTTATCCCTTCTGTATTCAGGGTAGATAGGGACAGGCAACTTAGACACTGGCTACCTAAAATGAGAGGCAATAAAGGCATGAAGAGACTGGCTTACAAGTTTTCAGGACGAAGTAAAGTTGAAGAGTGTGTGAGGGAAAATAGAGTCCCCACTGAATAGTTTTCATCTTGTCTAGATGGGTCTTTATAAAAGAGATGGGGATAAGATTTTTATGATTCAATAGTGAGAAATTGTTATCATGACTAATTGCAACTGTCACAATCGTAAAGGTAGAAGTTTTGTAACAAAAATTGGGCAGTCATTAATTTTTCAGTCCAGAAACAAAGGACCCTAGGACCATCAAGGGCGAAGAGTACAAGCGGAATGCGAGACCTTATCCAGAGAAGCACCGACACCAGAGATGGAGGCAGAGATGGGGACATGGAGAGAGGGAGCAGCAGAGTACTCTAGATTCATGGGAAGCGAGAGACTGAGAGCTGGAGGCCAGGAGGCAGACTTGCAGAGTGTGCCCTTTGGTGGTTTAAATTATTATATATGCCTGAGTATTTTTTAAAAAAGAGCTAAAATGAATAGAGAAAAATACTGTTAACTGATGGTAGTACATGGAGGGGACTATAATTATTGTAATGAAACAAGGTGTACGACTTGTTGAATGTAAAACTGATGATCTGCCCTGTAAACTTAAAAAAAAAAAGATGAAGGCATGAAGTGGCTGGCTTGCAATCTTTCATGAATGTGTTTAGTTTCAGAATGAGGTAGGTAAGGCAGAATCCCCACTGAATAGTTTCCCTCTTTTCCAGATGAATCTGGTGAAAGGAGATGGAGGATGACGGTGATAGGATTTTATGACTCAACTGTGAGTAATTGTTAGCAGAATGTGATTGTCACAACTGTAATGGTAGAAGATGTGTAACTAAAAGGGGGGAGTAGTTAATCTTTCATTTCAGAACAGATGATCCCAGGACCATCAAGAAGGAAGAGCATGAAACCCCTACCTAGAAAAGAGACAGTGGTAGAAGAAGTTACTTGGAGAGACAGAGCAAGCAGCTGAGGGCTCTATCTAAGCCCGTGAATTGAGAAAGGCCGTGTGCCTGCCGGCAGGAAGCTAATACAATGTGTACTCTGGACATTTAAATGAATACATTTTTTTGTTTTGTAAGTGTACAAATATTATTGCTTTGTTCATTTGTGAAATGGAAGGTGTAAATGGAGAGACACAGGGAGGAAGCAAGCTAACTGTTGTTGCAGGGAGGAGACTGATTGTAATGATTGATATGAAACAAAGTATATAATTTGATGAATGTAAAGCTGATGATCTTGTCTATAACCCTTCACCCAATTCACAATAAAAAGTTAAAAAAAAAAAAAAAAAAAGCATAAAGAATTAGTATATGCTACAACATGGATGAACCCTGAAAATGTTATGCTGTGTGAAATGAGCCAGCCAAAAAAGGCCATAGCATATGGTTTCATTTACATGACATGTTCAGAATAGGCCACCTCCAGAGAGGCAGAAAACGCATTAGTGGTTGCCAGAGGATAAGGGGAAGCTGAGGCTGACTGATCTCTTTTGGGGTGACAGAATTAGATAGCGTTGGTGACAACTGCACAGCATAGTGAGTATGCTACAAACCACTGAAGCACACATTTCCACATGGCTAAAATGATGACTTTAATCTCAGTAAAAAGTAAAGCTGCCAATAAGAGGGGCAGAGCAAGGCTATTAAGGCTACTATTGCTGTCATCCTCCTTCTCTTACTAACCCAGGCCCTGTGAGTGAGGTGTCCACTGCATCTGGACACTGTCCAGTATGTACAGAAAGGCTTCTCCAGTCAAACCTGGGAAACAGCCTCTCCATGAGCACAATGCACGTCAGTTCCTGTGACAGGAGCTAACACATACATAGCTGGCAGGTCCACCAGCTCGCCTGCAGTCAAGCCAAACACCCTGGCGTCAGGTAAACAGTCATGAGCAATCATCTTCCTTCCAATATATTAGAGATGTCATTAGAGAAACACTACCTGTTCCTTCCACTGACTGGAAAGCACAACTCTATTTCTCCTGGGTGTCCAACGTTCAATATACGGGACTGAATTCAAAGGTGAAAGTACTGGGAACCGTCACCCAGAACAGCTGGTTGTTGTTAAGTGCTGTCGAGTAGATTCCAACCCATAGTGACCCTGTATAGGATTTCCAAGGAGTAGCTGGTAAGCTTGAACCACCGACCTTGCAGTTCAAATGATTTTGCAGCATTAGCCCACAGCGCCACACCAGGACTCCCAGAATAGGTTAGGAGCCCAAACAACAGTGGTTGGATGTCAGATTCCTTCTTCCATGAAGCTGACCACCTAGTTGTTTACTATTAGTCCGGACCTGAGACCCCTCTGGACCCCAGTAGTCTCTGTAGGTCTCTTGGCTACTGTAAGGTACTCCATGAGCTTCTCCACACACAACATACACTTGATCATTATTTTCTGAGTGAACAAATGACTACAAATGCAAAAGAGAGGCAAGAAAAGATGCTGCCTCCACACACTTACCTCTCCAGTGGGGTAGCGATAATAGTATTTGTCCTGTTCTCGCAGGGCATACTCCTCAGGGTAGGTCTCCTTGATCTCCTCATAGGTCATCTCCTCACAAACACCCTGGTGGAAACACCCAGAGGTCACTTATAGGAGACTATGCCCAAAAGGGTCAATGCCCAAGGGCAATTTGCTTGAGGACAGGATGCCCTTTTGCTGCCAAGGCTCAGGGAAGAGGCCTTCACAATCCGCCCCCATCTCTTCAGCCCTCCCACTGGCCAGGCCCCCACACTCACAGCATCAATTTCATTGAGTGCCTTCCACTGTTCATAAGGAAGTTTAAGGGCTTCTGCTGTCTGGATGGTACTTTTCAGCTGGCTGGTCCACACCTTGAGGTCTTTCAGGTTCTGTTCCTCGACAAATTTGCTCAGGGCATTGGCAAACTGAGAGAGCATGTGTGGGATGAGAGGAGAAATGCAGAAATATACAAATTGGACACCAGGGCCACGGCAAAATTCAGTCACCCTCCACACCAAGGTGGTCATTTGACTGTAGTTAGAATGGCAAAGAGCCTGGGAGCAACTAGCTTGAACCTGGCAGAAGCTAACTCCAGCATCTAGGACTAGCCCCCTGTAAGTACCCTGGATTGGCCCTTCTCAAAGCCCCAGTGGACTCTTGCCTTCTCAACACAGCACCTTGTCCACTGCCCCCAACCCGACATCTTTCCTATCATCCATTAACTTCCACCTACCTTCTTGCCTCGGACAGAGAGGCCGGAGTCGCCACCAATCTTCCCCAAGAGGTTATACTCATTCTCCCCATGCCGACACAGGTAGATGGTACGGGGCTGCACATGGATGTTCATCAGGTAGTACACAATTCGGCTCTGGATGTGGTCCTGGACTCTGTTCACCAAGAACCTCCGGCCCACATCAATCACCTTGATAAGTGACAGGTCCCTGCACAGAAATGCCACAAAGGATTCATCCACCTGTCAGCACAGCACACCCAGCCTCACCTATAAATCCCCTGGCCCAATGTCCAGAAGACTCATTCCTCAACAGAACTGCAAAGTTAAGACTCTAGGCTCCTTGAGACCAAAGACTGAATCTATTTTCTTCAAGAGCCAGAGAGTAAGAGCATAGAGCATAGCAACCAGTTTCCGCGGCAGAGGGTCAAGCCAAGAGGTTGGCTGGATTCCCAGACGAAGGGGACAGAAAAGCCAGAGAATGGAAAAGAAAAGATCAGAGGGACAGTGGCAAGACTAGGACTCAAATGTACGGGCCACTTTCTATACTTTTATGTTGTGACTGAAGTATTTACAGTGAATACGAAAGGAGGGGAACAAAAGAGGCCTTTTTAAAGAGCGTTTGTAAAAGTATGCACAATCATGCACACTCTTTATGGGAACCTCAAGAAAACATTAAGAACGCGAATGTGGGCAATTCAGACGTGGTTCCCTTTTAGGAACTAATTACCTGTCGCATTTATCAGGGTCAAGGGGCTGGTAGCTGGCTTCGTAGCAGTTAATTCTCTTCATGAAGTCTTCCATGGCTTCTGCAGAGTTGCAGTGTTTGTAATCTGGGCTGGAGATTTTCACTTCCTGCAACACCACAAAGAGGCAGCTGATGTGTGAGTCACATTGGGAGGCTCTTTGCTTAACTTAAGCAGGATTTGGAGCTTTAAAAAGGGGAAAGCACACAAGGTCTCAGGATAAAGGTTAACACAGCCAGTGTTTAAGAAGGGGGAAAAAAAGAGAGAAAAAAACAGGGGCTGAGTTATCTATCACTTGATGACTATATAGTGAGGGCATCAATGGTAGAGAATTGCTGATTGGAAGATGTGCTTTGCCAGCTCAGCGTTCCAATCAGCAATTGAAAGAGCTGTGACATCCACAAGGATTCCTTAATGAAACCCTCTGAAGAGTCCAGCATTCACGGACAGAGTCAGCAACAGACAGCCTGGCTCTCAATCCAACCAAATTCCACAAAAGCATCTGCAATATTCCCTACACCTAAGAGTGCATTGTTGGTTACAAAAGCACACGTGATCATTGCTAGAGAAGATCCAGTCTCTGAATCCTAGGCATAGTTCTTCTTCCACTGATCCCCAGATCAAGGCAGCAAACAGTTGTAACCAGACTGTGATTTACAATGCAGCTGGTATGCAACAACCACCCCATTGCTTCTGTACCGAGAACATGTGCCTCTCCTGCTCAGGGGTGCTCTCACAGAACAGGGTGGAGAAGTGACACTCAGATCCACCCCATCCTGCGACTGAGTGGTAGGTCCCAGCAACCTAGTAGATTTAGGCGAAACTCGGAATTTTTTCATGCATGTGCTCCTTTGTTCTTCAATGACTACCAGAGCTTTTTAAAGACAGGTAGCTACTCCTCAAAGACTGAAGCTCACCAATCTTTTTCTGCCTAGCACAGCTGCCCACATAAAGAACACAATGGGGAGGTTTAACCTGCAAAGTTGCTTTAAGTCTCAATCAGAGAAAGAAATTTCTGAGAACTGGAGGATGGGGACAAATGACTAAATGTGTTAAAGAATGAATGGATTTCTCCAACCTAAGCAAACTGGGGACTACTCACAGGGTCAAAAGCCTATAGGATGCATTCTGCTTAACTAATAAATGGAACTAGCAGAGCCAAACCAAGAAATGACAACAAAACCCTTTGTCTAGATAATTGTAACATCTGCTTTCTTGTACTTTGAATTAATTCCTTTGGGTCCAATTAAACTAATTTAAATGGATTTTCCATAATTGGAAAAGCCCTTCCTGAAATATGAACTAATTTCTTAGAAATGCTTTCAAATATTCCCACTGTCATGGCGAAAAGTTTGAATACAAGGAGCTAATGAATGCTTGGCATCCCTTCAGAGATGCGTATTGCCATACAGACAGAGTCCCTGGGTGGTACAAATGGTTAACATGCTCAGCGGCTGACAAAAAAAAAAAATCAGTAGTTAAAGAGTCCACCCAAAGCCATCTCTTGGAAGAAATTCCTGGCAATCTTGTTTCCAAAACACCAACCATTGTAAACCCTATGGTGCACAGTTCTACTCTGATACAAATGGGGTTGCCCGAGTTGCAACAGATTATTTGACAGCAACTGGTTTTTTGTTTGTAACAAAAATACCACAATGTTCCATGTAGAAGTATTAAGACTTCTTTTCTATACAGATATGTCTTATTGTGATACATTTAAACTGGACAGAAACTTAGCTACTTCATGAGAAGGTAATCTGTGCTAAAGACTTCATAGTAACTTCTTCTGCTAATGTTAATGGTACATCGTTATCAACTGATAAAATTTAGCAATTAGCCAAATTGAGTTGACAATTACCCTCAATACATTGGGCCAACTTACCCTTGACACAGAAGAGACTGGTGCTATATACATTGATGCACTGTAAGGACACACTTCTTCCCGAACTTGGAAACTAACTTCATTTAATAAACCCTGTAGACTCTGTCAATATATAGCCAGTTACCTATCTACTCACCTGGCAGGATTGAGCTTGTGTCCTTTCTCCCAAATAGGCCCAACACCAGGTTTAGCAAGATATTGCTACCTATATAAACTGTCCTGGATTTTCCCTACTTTATCTCCAACAAGGTTTGTACTCACTGCCAAGTGTCTGAAAACCACGCAGGTTTTCAGGGCTTGAACCAGTTTCTACTGGTTCAGTCACAGATGCAAAATCATGAGACCCTAATTCCAGGTAAAGGGGAATGCTCACCAGAAAAGAAAAAGTTAATAGGCTAAATAAAGTCCTGGAATGGGAGATATGAAAAAGTCATAGTGAGTTCTTTCAGGTGCCTGAAGCAGGAGAGTGAATTATGTACAAAACTATAGCAAGTGACCCACACTCAGAGCAGCAGGTTTGGCTGCCATGTTTGAGATTGTTGTTGTTATTATGTGCAGTGGAGTCGGTTCCGACTCATAACGACCCTGTACAGGGTTTTTGAGGCTGTAAAGCTTTATGGGAGCAGAGAGCCTTATCTTTCTCCTGTGGAAGAAAGCTGGTAGTTTCAACTGGTGACCTTAAGGTTCACAGCCTGATTCGTAACCACTACGCTAGAGATACATGCCTTTATTTCCAAGTCGGTAGGAAAGAGATTTGGTTGCCACACAATGTATACATATGCTGCCAGAAGAGCAAGGCAACAACCCATAATTTTTACCATTCTGGTTACCACTCTAATTCACCCAAATTTTTTAAAATTCAGGACTGCTCTGGTCACGTCCTTGGCCATGATTGAACAGTGATGAACTAGTTTGAGGTCCTGAGGAAAAGCCACCAGGGTAGGTCACAGAACATGCTTCTAAATTAAGAAATACTGATTCATACTTCTAAATTCCAAATATCCCACCATGAAAACAAATATCAGCAAAATGGGGAGACGCAAACTCATTCTAAAAGTTGTACTTTCAGGGCATGACCTGATTTCACATTATTCTCAGATCACAAATGTCCTTGCAGCCTAAGCTACCACATTCGAGTAAGGGTTTTCTCTTACCATGATGTTGGAAGCAACAACCGTTGGGTCATCACACACAGACTCAATGAAAAACACCTGGGTGGAAGCAAGGCAAACAGGAAATAACAAGTGTATATGGAGAAGAGGCCAGCTTTCATATCCCATTCCTAAATTCTCAAACACATAAAAGACCCACTGACTCAATTCCATGCCCTGTACCCTCTCCAAACTCAGCATTCTTCCCCCTAAGCATCATACCGCAGGGAGACCCTATTTGTAGATTGTTATTGTTGTTAAGTGCCGTCAAGTTGATTCTGACCCATAGTAACTCTGTATAGGGTTTCCAAGGAATAGCTGGTGAGCTTGAACTGCTAACCTTGCAGTTCAAACGACTTTGCAATCTGGCGCATTAACCCACAGCGCCACACCAGAATTCCTCAGCATTGAGGAAGACCTTTGTGTGAAGATCTAGATAAAGTTTGTAGATAGTAGGAGGTTAGGTACAAAGTATGAAGCAGAGTCGCACCAACACAATCACCAGTCCATCCCAAGGTTCTCTCCTTTCTCCTGAGCTCACAGAGACAAAAGAAGACAAGAAGCTGGGCTCACCTTGAAATCATTTTCTTTGGCAAAATGAAGGATCATGTGTCTCCTCTCTCTAGTAGTATTGGTGGCATCGAAAACCTGATCAGGAGTAGGAAAGGCAGGCAATGAAGAATCTAATTTTGATTTTATCAATATTTACCAAAATCTCAGAGTAGGTCATGCCTGCCACTTCCATGAATAAGCCAAAAATGTTGGTCCAAGAAGAGGTTGTGCCTTGGCCAAAGTCCTTTCCAAGACTGCAGGGTCCAAGGCCCAGCATTGACCAGCCTTCCCCTCTTCCACTGCCGACAACTCTGAGGGACAGTACATGTGTGGGCAGGGGGGAAGTTACTTAAAACTAACAAAAGGTTATATGCTGCAGGAGGAAGAGATAGGTGGAAGGTCCATTAGGTATTATGGCTGACTGCAACTCCAGAACCTTCCTGCCTTTGTGGGTGGTAGCCTAATTGCACAGGCAGGAGAGGATGAGCAGGTATTCCTGCTGGTGTGTCGAGTCCACTCCACCTTGGCTGAGCTACTGTACTGCTCTAACCACGTGCTACGCTCCACCCTCAGGGCCAGAGGTACCTGTCCCTGTCTAAGCAATGGTTCTTCTTTTGGTCATTAAAAATAGATTTAATAACTTATATCTGTATTGTATTTTACATATTATAGATCTCTTCTTTTCCATTTTTCCACAATTTCATAAATCATTTAAGTTGACGTAAGTAACAAACCATAAAATGCATATACATTGGGCTGAAGATACTTGGGGAAAATTAGCTAGTAATTTCCACATTGTTGTTCTGTTATTTATAAAAAAAGATACATTTTGCAAATGTATTGAAGTAAAATACTAAAAGATCAACCACTATTTTAGTAAATTTCACTATTGTAGGCACCATTCTTTTTATTTTTTAGCTATGTTTCTGCTATGTAGCCATGTAAAGAAGTAAGCAGCATTGAAGTTTGGGGGTATTTGGATCATTAATACAGTAAAGTAATGATGACAACAAATAAACTAGGTTTTTCACCCAGTCTCACCCAATGAATTAGAGGTATAGACAATCAGTAATTGCTAAAGTACAAAGAGGAAACTACTGAGATTAATTAATTAATTATTACTGCTAGGCATTGTCAAGTTAGTTTTGACTCACAGCGATGCTATGCACAACAGAAGGAAACACTGCCTGATCCTGTGCCAACCTTACAACCTATGCTACTTTTAAGCCCACTGTTCCTGCCACTTTGTCAGTCCATGTCGTTGGGGGTCATCCTCTTATTTCGCTAACCCTCCACTTTACCAAGGATCATGTCCTTCTCCAGGGACTGGTCCCTACTGATAGCATGCCCAAAGTATGAGAGACAAAGTCTCACCTTCCTGGCTTCTAAGGAGCAATGTGGTTTTACTTCTTCCTACACATATTTGTTTGTTCTCTTGGCAGTCCATAGTACTTTTAATATTTTTCTCCAACACCATAATTTAAAAGCATCAATACTTCAATGATCTTCCTTATTCATTGTTGCATGAGTGATTGAAAATACCAAGGCTTTGGTCAGGCACACATTAGATCTCAAACTGTTATCTTGGCTCTTGAACACTTAAAGAGGTCTTTCGTAGCAGATTATGCAATATGCCATTTGATTTTTTTTTAATGTTTTATTGTGAATTATGTGATACGTTTACACGGGAGAACATTTGTTTTACATAAGCAACGATTCTTGACACTTCTCTCAGTCACTGTCTACATTTCATTCTCATGAGGATATCTTCTCGATATGAGATTAACAAACAAGACAGTGGCATTTCCTAGACTTACCGCAATTTGGCCCCCTTCCTGTGTCAGGTACGTTTTGACATCTCTCAGGGCAGCTAAGGCACACTGCCTACAACAAGCAAGAAAGAGAAGTGTCAGGGAGAGCCCATCCAGATGGGGGATATCCAAGCAATCCACTTCATCCACCCCAGTAAGCAGAGCAACAGCAGGTTCTGTCTCAAAAGTACCCAGTGCTGTGGGCAAGGCTCATCAGGCCTTCCTCGGAATCAGCACCCACAGGCCCAGAGGCTCCCCAAGTTCAGGTGTAGTGCAGATGTACTCCATTTACCCTCAGGAAGTGGTGTTCATGCCTCGATGCACAATGGCATCCCTGGAGGCCTTCAAACACCTGCAGCCCACATCCCACCCACTGCTGACGGAACTGGTCTGGGGTATGGCCTAATACGGGAACTTTTACAAGCTCTACAAGTGATTCTACTACTCAGCCAGGACTGAAGCCTTGATCACCTTGTACTTTAAAAACAATCCTTCTCCAATGTAAACAGATCATTTTCAGTGAAACTGTTTTAATCCTTCTTAACAAGATGTTGTTGCTGTCGATCTCTATCTGAGTTAGAATATTTGGGAACAGATCAAAACAAGGAGTCTCAGACAAACTGAGAGACTTGTGCTAAACTTCAGCAACCGCTGTGGACCAAGCTGGAGCCGAACAGAGCCAACTTGCAGGCCAGCTTTCTCTTCCTCATACAGAAGATGTTTTTTAAACAGCAAAACAAGTCTAAACCCAAGGTCTTCAGGACAGCTCATGTCTTACTTCCGGACTCTCATGGCCTCTTCGTTGTCAGGGCGAAAGAAGTCGTAGGATCTGTATTGCCTCACAGCCTCCCGGCGATACTCCCCCACATTGAATACTGTGGATGTAAAAGAAAAGACCAGCCTGAGACAGCCAAGCAGAACAAAGGGGCCTAGTCATAACTGGAAACACAATCTCAGGGGGGTGGGGAAAAAAATCAAAACAAGCAAAACTCCATCAAAAAACAAACCAATCCCCCCCCTTCCATGAAATTGATTTCAATACATAGTGGGCCTTCTGCTGTTGCACGCCATCGAGTTGGTTCCGACTCATAGCAACCCCGTATAGGGTTTCTGAGGCTGTTCGTTATGGGAGCACAAAGCCTCATCTTTCTCCTGCAGGGCAGATGGTGGATTCGAACTGCCAACCCTGCGGTTAGCAGCCCAATAGGCAACCCCACTGTCATAGTTGTTATCAATTTTTGACTCATAGCAACCCTAAATGACAGAAGAAGAGTTGTCCCAAAGGGTTTTCTAAGCTGTAATCTTAGTGGGAGCAGATCGCCAGCTCTTTCCCTTGCACAGCCTCTAAATGGGCTCAAATTGTCAGCCTTTTGATAAACGCTGCACCACAGGATCTCCTTCAACATCAAAAAGGCCATACTTTCCTCAGGGCATTTAATGTTGAGTGGACACTTCAAATGTACACAGTATGTGGTGGTGGTGTGCAGTGGAGTCGGTTACAACACATAGCGAACCTACATAGGGTTTCTGAGTCTGTAAATCTTCAGAGAAGCAAAAAGCCTCATCTTTCTCCCACAGAATGACTGGTAGTTTTGAACTGCTGACCTTGAGGTTATCAGCCCAACTCATAACCACTATGCTACCAGAGTTCCTTGTGCTAGGCACAGTGTTACTGGTTACGTGCTGTCGAGTACCCTGTACAGAGTTTCTGAGGCTGTAAATCTTTACAGGAGCAGAAAGCCTTATCTTTCTCCCGTGGAATGGCTGGTAGTTTCGAACTGCCGACCTTGAGGTTAGCAGCCCAACTGGTAACGACTGCGCTACCAGAGCTCCTTGTTAGGCACAGTTGTTGTTGTTAAGTACTGTGGAGTCGGTTCCGACTCATAGCGACCCTGCACAGGGTTTCCGAGGCTGTAAATCTTTACTGGAGCAGAAAGCCTCATCTTTCTCCCACGATTCATAACCACTACGCTACTAGTTGTTGTTGTTAAGTGCCGTCGAGTCGGTTCCGACCCATAGCGACCCTGTACAGGGTTTCCGAGGCTGTAAATCTTTACGGGAGCAGAAAGCCTCATCTTTCTCCCACGGAGCAGCTGGTAGTTTCTAACTGCTGGCCTTAAGGTTCACAGCCCGATTCGTAACCACTACTAGTAGGGGAGGAAAAAAATGCCTAGTTGGGGAGATAAGACAAAGCACCATAAAATGTCATCAAGAGTACGGAGTACTTAATGAGTAGAGCAGTATTACAAATGAGTGCTATGGGAGTTTAAAGGAGAAAGATGTGCACAGATTGAGGTAGTTGGAAGGGGCTTCGCTGGTGGGCAGGATTCAGAAGAGAAGAGTGGCAGTAAGAATAAAATTCCAACATAAAAGTAAGAGTATGCATGTATCTGTGATGACACGGACACATACAATGGGCAAGGGAGGCAGATCAGACTCCAAGTCAGGGCAACACACCAGCCCCAGAGTAGTTCTACACTGCCACGACAAGTAAGATGAAATGGAAGAGTTGTTTGGGTTTTTTTTTTTCTGCAGATTGCTAAGCAGGATCTACTTAGTCTTGGAATATTGGAATACAGTCTCTTACCTTTCGTTGGAACGCCAATCCAGTTGAGGTAGCGAGTTAACTTCTTGGAGATGTAAGTTTTCCCCCTGGCTGGGAGGCCAACCATGACAATCACTGTGGGGGAGTTGGTCAGCTTCGGTCCACAGGCTGGAAAGAGCAATACAGAAGGTGTCCTCAACAAAGTGGCAAAAGCTACTGAGCAAAGTTCTGGGCCCAACAACAAACTTTAAAGAATTTCACAGAAGTGACCTTTATTTCATTCCTCATCTCAAAGTCCCCACCATTCTTGATTCAACTGGCAACCAGAGTTGTGGAGTTGCATCCTACAGCTCAGTCGTGGTTTCAGGTTACATTTGGCATAGATTCTGAGTCCCAACCCCAAAATCCCACCCTGATACCCACTTGTCCAGGACCAAGTCACAGTATCTCATTACTAACACTAATAGTAGAAGAGCACTCCTCAACACTGTAAGAAAAAGATTCACCAGCACCCATGAAAGTGAGGCGAATGGCAGGAAGAGGTGATTTCCAAATGCCACCAGCTGAGGTGGCAGGTATGAATGAAACATGGGAGGCAGGGACCTGGAGAGCCAAAATACAGTGAGACCTCCACATGGTAGGTCTGGGTGTACTTTCTATAAATACAAATCTTTAAAATCAGACCGTTTTTAAAAATAGGAATTCATGCAGACGGAACCCAGGAAAATGAGATTGCTCAGTCCCCTCCATCCCTGAGACCCTCCCCTTTCCCGTTGCCAGGTCCTGATTGATGCCAGAGCCCTGCCGAATGAAAGGCAGGTCAGAAGGCACCAGATGCCCACGGTTACTAAGGGCTAGACAGAGGGCCTGGCTCTGCCATTCATCTCCGGGGAACCCAGTGGCTTTTGCTTGTGAATTTCTTCCCACCAGCTACTGAAACTACAAGCCCATGTTCCTTAGAATCTCAAGAAGACAAAACCCCAGGGAGAGAGGTTTTCACTGGATTGTAAAAGGAACCCTGTTCTGAAAATCTATGGCACATTACTGCCTTGGCTGTCATCGTGCCCCTGAGACACACAAGCGACTCCTGCTTCCTAGTAACAGCAGTCTTCCCATTGGAAGCAAGAGACCTGACAACTCCCAACCTAGGCAGAGCGACCGCGCTGCAATCTTGTGCTCACTGACTGCTGAGCTGGACCAAGCTCTCCTTACTGGCACTGAAAACTCTCTTCAGAGGTGGAGGCCACACAGAGTGTAGGAAGAAACCTCAAATCTAGTCGGATGTCGGATTTAGACAGAAGCTCTAATGTGTTAATCCGATAAATGCCAGAATGAGGGTGGAAGGAAAGCCACCAGTGTCAACGCTGACAGGCGTCTTGCCTCCTGCAAGGATTAAAGGAGGAAGCCCGCTGGGCATCGCTGGGCATCCGAACAGTCCCAAGCTCAGCCTGTTGACCAATCTGAGATCACATGCCCAAACACCCACTGTATTATTCTAGGATCTGCTTCCTAGACAGTGTGCTGGGGTAAGGGGTGAAGCAAGCATTACAGACATTAAATGCTTTGTTTCTTCTCTAATATTTTTAGACCATGCAGTAGGGGAGAGGCAAAAAGGAGACCAGGAGACATTCAGGACATGCGTGCGCACACACACACACAACCTTGGCCAGTATTTCTTCAGCTTCCAGGGATACTGAAGTAAACAAGTTCCTAGAAAACAACCATTTCCCTGCCCAGGATGAACCAGCAGTAAGGGGCACAGGTTGGGTACCCGAGAGACAAGCAGAGATGATGGTCTCCCTGAAAAACCAGCGAGGACACAAAACAGGGTACATTCTGGTAGCTGCAGTTGATGCATCAGAAAAGTGGCAGTAACTGTGAAGTTTTCTCACTTTGTGTCTGCAAACAATACCCATTCCCTTCACCCTTCCAAGGTAATGGTTCTCTGCCAGCTATCCCCATCATCCACTACTCCCAGGAGCACTAAAACAGGCTCAGAGGCAAGGGGGACACATGCCTACTCATGGTGATGTGGACACGCCTAGAACATTGTTGCTGGCATAATGACAAAGAGTACAAGGCAAGACGATAACTGATCAATCTATTTCATCAATTCACTCAAGGAACCCTGGTGGCGCTGTGGGTTAAGCATCAGGTTACTAAGCAAAAGTTTGGCAGTTAAAACCCACTAGCCATTCTGTGGGAGAAAGATGTGGCAATCTGCTTCCGTAAAGATTTATTTACAGTATTGGAAACCCTATGGAGCAGTTCTACCCTGTCCTATAGGGTCATTCAATGGCAATGGGATCTATCACTCATCTTATAAAGAAATCTCCTCTGGAATTAGAAACTTCAGGGAGGGAGAGGGAGGACATAAAGGTACACTGAAGTAAATACCTTAAGTCAGGAGAGTTCAGGTTGAATTTCAAGCCCAAACACACATACTCCGTAACTTGGCAAAACAGAAGCTATCCTCCCTATTCATTTGGTTTCTTGAATGGATTTCAAGGAACTACAAGACAGCACTCCCTGGGGCTCTGAGAAGAGAAATCACAAAACTTCTTAACCCCTTTTCATCCCTCTGCCCCTCTTCCACTTTCCTAAACTCACACCACACCTCAACTGCTTGCATAACCACCTGCTCCTGCTTCAAGTCCCCCAGCCCCTCCATTTCTTCATTCTCTGGGGATTGGTTTTGCTGATTGGGAAGGGAATCCAAGTCTTCCCTTCCACTCCTGCTTCTCTCTCAGTGCCCTCCCCAGATCTCTGCAGTAGACTCTTCTTTCTCTGGAGTACAATCATTGTTGTTAAGTGTCACCGAGTCACTTCCCACACATGGAGACCCTGTACAGGGTTTCCAAGGAGCGGCTGGTGACTTTGAACCACTGACCTTGTGGTTCACACTGACCTTCTGGTCCAGTGCTTTATCCCACAGTGCAACACCAGGACTAGCTTCACAGATTTTCCATTCCATCTTATATAAATGCTAACTATTTGGTTTTGCACCAAAAATCCAAAGTTTTAAAAGTTGGATAAAAAACGTATAAGTAATTTTATGCAGTGTAAGAGAGTGCACAGAGTCCTGGTGTGGCACTGTGGGTTAATGTGCTAGACTGCAAAGTCAGTTTGAACTGCAAGGTTGGTGGATCAAAGTTCACCAGTTGTTCCTTAGAAACCCTCTACAGGGTGGCTATGGGTCAGAATGGACTGGATGGCACTTAACAACAACAAGAACAAGGGAATAAAAAGACAATCATTTAAAGACCACTAAATTAACAAGCCAAACACCTTAATTATGATGTAGGGGCATAGGGAGTCTAAGTCTAAAAGCTCGTGGTTTTAAGACTGTCATTTGAATAATAAAGGAACTCACCAAGTTCCAGAAGAATACCTTCATTTTGATAAAGTCATTACATTCATTCCCTCAGTCAATGAACACAGGTGTTGTTGTTGTGAAGTGCCTTTGAGTCAGTTCTGACCCACAGCGACCCTGTACAGGTTTTCCAAGGAGCAGCTGGTGAGCTTGAACCTCCAACCTTGCAGTTCAAACAGCTTTGCAGCCTGGCACATTAACCCACAGCGCCACACCAGGACTCTGATGAACACAGGTACTGGATGCCATGTGAGACACATGAAAATAAGCCCAACGGACCCAACCCCTGCTGCTAAAGAACATCAGTCTAGGGTGAGGAGCGAACAATAATAAGCAAACAAATGCACAAGATAATTTCAAATGATCATAAATGCTTTTATGAAAGCAAAGCAGATGCTCATATAGAGGACGATGTTGCTAGGGTGGAAGGTGAATGTGGTTAGGGGTGAGTTTGAATTGGGTACCCAGGGTATCAATTGAATCAAGACTTCACTGTAAGCCGGCCAGGCCCATTTATTAGTATACAATGCAAACTGCAGTGGTGCTATAGGATAAGTACTGGACCGCTAACCACGAGGTAGGTGGTTCAAACCCACCAACAGCTCCTCGGAAACCCTATACAAGATCGCTCTGAGTTGGAATAGACTTCACAGCACTAACAACAATGCAAACTGGCTACTCGTGTTAGTAGTTAGGTTACTCCGTACATATAACTATTTAGCAGAAACCACATGATAGCCTGAAGCTGACTGGTGAGCATGACCAGCAGCACAGACCAATGCAGGCCCTCAGTAGCTCTGTACCGATGCCTCACAATCATTCCCTGAAAATAAATTTCTCCTTGGAAGACCCCTTCCTGTTGCTCCCATGCCTCCTGCAAGCAGCAGGCTCTCCAAAATGCTAACCTCAAAAAGAAGGCAAGTGTGTTCCCTCCCTTTTAGAAGTTGGTCAGCTACACCTCATTAAAAGTTCCAAAGAGGAGGAAAAAGTTGAAAAGAGCTGTTTAATGACATGCTGCAAACCAAGAACCAGTTGCTGCCCAATCAATCCCAACTCCTGGCTACCTCATGGATGTCCGAGGAGAGATTTGCTCCAAACCAAGAAGGGATCCACAAATGCCTAACAGAATCTGGACTATTGCATGTTTACAATAACTACCACAACCTATTCCAACCACGCAAGGGCAAAAATGAAAGCGGTGCCAAAACACCAGCTTGGACCCTATGGTTACACAACCACCCGGGAAGGTCTCTCAGGCAATAGGCGTAATAAAAAAGTTGGCACTCCGGGAAAACGGAATGCAGGACACAACAGCATAGAATGGATGAGGGAAACGTGACTGTTGTCTACTGGACACACCCATCTCTCTCCAGTTATCAGATCAGCCCAATGTGCAACAGGAGTCTGCTTACCAAGAACATAAGGGGAAGAGAATGGACACAGCTTTCCAAAAGCATTCTCTACTATTTGATTGAGTTATAGTGTTGGAGACTATTGAAAGTGCCAGGGGCTGCCAAAAGAACAAACAGATCTATGTTGGAAGAAGTGCAGCCAGAGTGCTCCTTGGAGACCAGGATGGCCAAACTTCGCCTTTCAAACTTTGGACATACTGTCAGGAGGGGCCAGTCACTGGAGAAGGATATCATGTTTGGTGAGGTAAAGGGTCAGAGAAAAAGAGGAAGAACCCCAGCGAGATGGACTGGCAAAGTGGCAGCATCAATGGGCTCAAGCGTGGCAACAATCGTGAGGTTGGCCCAGGATCGGCAGTGTTTTGTTCTGTTGTGCATAGGGTCGC